TGACGCCGCGGTTTGGCGTCCGGCAAACGAGAGAAGACGGCTCTGAGAAGCTGCGGCTCGTCGACGATATGTCACGCTCTCGCATCAACGCGGCGCCTCAGCCGACGGAGCGTCTCGGCCATGAGGCCATGGACGCTCTGTTCGGCACTTGCAAAGCCTTTGTGGCGCGCGTGGGCGCAGCGCCTGGGCTCTGGAAGGCGGACATTGACGCCGCGTTCCGGCGCGTGCCGCTGACGGCAGAGCATCGCGCATTCGCGTGGGTCGCCTTCCTCGTGGGCACCTGCGTCTACGTGGCTCAACACTTCGCCGCCCCATTCGTTCGCAGTTGGGAGCGCATCGGCGCGATGCTGACTGCGCTGGGCCGCAGGATCCTTTTCGTTCCCGCCCTTCGATATGTGGACAATTTCTTTTGCCCCGAACGGAAGAGAGGGCCGCGCGACGCAATGCGACAATTCGCCGAACTGGTGAGAATCATTCTCGGCCCGAACGCCGTGGCCGACGGTAAGCTGCTGTTCGGCAATCCGATCGGAGTCCTAGGTTTGTTTGTCTGTGGCGATTGACGAGCGAGGCCTCGCGCGTTGGCCGCTGCCGGATAAGCGCGCCCGGTGGCGCGCCGAGATCGCCGCCGCCCTTCAAGAGGGCGCGCTCGAGCGCGGGCGCGCGTCCAAGTTGGCAGGCCGCTTCTGTTGGGCCGCCTCTAACACCTTCGGGCGGTTCGGGCGGGCGCTGCCCCCGCCGTTGTTTGAGCGCGCGAGGGCGCGCCATCCGAGAATCCCGGCGCACCTGCGAGTCTGTCTGCAATGGTGGCGCGAAGCGCTCGCCAGCAATTTCACCGCGACTCGCGAGTGGCAGGCGCCAGACACCAGGTCTGTACAACTGCTCTCCGACGCGCGGGGCCATCCAGCCAGCGCGGCCGCGGTTCATTTCATTGACGGGCGCATTGTCTTCATCGACGTCGCCCCCCCTGAGCTTCTGCTTCGGCTCTGCAAGGAGAAGCGCGACAATCAAATCGGCGGCCTGGAGGTGCTCAGCATCGCGCTGGGCCCGGCCACCTTCGAGCCGCTCCTGTCGGGCCGTTGCGCGAATATCTTTTCTGATAATTCAGGCAGCGAGCGGGCCGCCCGGCCCGGTGCGGCGAAGCAGTTTGACCGCGCTTGCCTGGCCCACTCAATCTGGCGCATGGCGCTGAGTGCGAATTGCAATCTACACGTTCATCGCGTGGCGTTGGCGGACAATGTCGCCGACCTGCCCTCGCGCGAGTCGTACTCCCTGCTGTGTCGCACGGGGGCGGAGTGGATTCCTCCGGCGCTGGGCGATGCGCGGTTCGACTCGAGCGCGCGGCTTCCTCATCGCCGGCCATGGCCGGCTCGGGCGCCGGGCGCGCGCGCAGTGTATCTGGCCTTCCCTCATCGGTCAGGGTGCGCCCGCCAGGCCGGGCAGGCGCTGGCGTCCTCCCTCGCGCATGTCGCGGTCGCGCTTCGCCCTGCGCGCGCGAAGATCTCTGCGTTGTCGGCTCACCTTGAGAATTTCCTCAGCATTCGCGCGATGGCGCTGGCTGGTTTGATCGCTCAGCTTCGCGTGGTTTGCCCTGGGGCGCGCCCTATTCCTGCGTTCGCTGCTGCCGCGCTGCTTGCCGATGACGGCGCCGACGCCGCGAGCGATTTGGTTGACGTCACCATGGCAGACTTTAGGGGCGCCGCGGCTTTATCTAGCGACGCCCGTGAGGTGGCCCGCGCGGCTATCGCGGCAGCCCAGCGCGGCGGCGCGCCAGCTGCACCGGGCAGGGGCGGCATGGGCGCCCCTCCTGCGCCCGCTCCCTCGCCTGGGATTACCCCCAGGTCTTCTCGCGCGTTCCGCGTTCGCCCGCGGGCGCTCCGCGCCGGCCGGAGCAGGGCCGGCATCGCGAGGCGGACGCCCTCGAGCGAGTCAATCTCGTCATCTTCCACGGTGCGCGCGCGATATTGCGGCATGTCGATCGCGGCGCTAAGCGCGGGCGCCAGGACAGCGGCAGGGCGCGCGCAGCCCCCCCGGCGGACCCTGCGCCCGCTGTCCGGCGGGCGCTTTCAATCGCCGGGCGCGAGGGTCGCCGAGACACGCGCGGGCCGCGGGCCGAAGCTGCTAAGGCCGGAGCCCCCGTCGCATCCCCAGCGGCCGGAAAAGCGTGGGCGCGCAGGGCCCGGGTTAGCGCTCTCCTGGGCGCTTGCCCGCGCACGTTGCCCGCGCTCAGCAGCGGCCGCCGGTTCGAGTGCCAGATAGCATTCGCATGGGGCGTCTTAAAGCGGCGTGGGGAAGAACTGCCGCCCACTCTCGAAGGGCTGCTTCTGTGGTCCACGACCTTCAGGTGTGCCGGCACCTTCAGCAACTACGCGACTCACGCGAAGAAGGGGCGCCTCGCGGCGAGCAGGCGCGCGCCCACCTCTCATCCTCCAGCAGCGCGCGTCCGCCCGCAGTGGCAGTCGACGCGCAAGGCCCGCGGGCGTCTTCAGGCACCCGGCGGTTCGCGCCGCTAAGAGCGCCATCGAGAAGCGTTCGGCCTGGCAAGCGAAGGCGCGCATGGCCCTTCAGGGCCGCGACGTCGCCCGCCTGGCGTCGCACCTTCGCGTCAGTCACGAGGGCCGCCGTTCCGCAATGTTGTGCCTGGCGGCTCACGCATTCCTCCTTCGGCTACCTACGGTGGCCCTGCCCGCGGCGCGGGTTGAAAATGGCGCGGCCGCAACTCGCGTGGCCCCCGCGTTCGTCGTCGGCGATCAAGTGATCGAGCTGCACCTCTCCAGAATAAAGAACCGCGAGAGCCGCTCGGCGTTGGCGCGGCAGTGCTGGCGCGATGAGTGCGCGGCCACCTGTCCCGCGCACGTTCTTGGGGCCTGGCTATTCGGCGAGCCAGCTCACCAGCCCATCTGGGCTGCGTGGCCCCCGGGCGCGGCGCGCGCTCGGCTGCGCCGCGCGCTGGGCGAAATGGGGCGCCACGACGCGGAGCCATTCGGCGCTCGCGCGTTCAGGCGCGGGCGCGCGCAGGACATTGCTGCCGGGAGCGGACCGGTCACCGACCTTCTTCGCGCGGGCGGCTGGCATCAACCCACGTGGATGAAATGCCTTAACGTTTCCCGGTTCGAGCGACAGTCGGTCGTCGAAGCCCACTTGGCAGAGTCGTCCAGCGACGATGGCGATGGCTGAGCACCCCGCGCAGTCTGGTGGTCGCGTCTGCACGGGACGCGCGTGGGCGCACCCCGGCACGCGGGGGCAATGGGTGGCAGCGCCGGGCGTGGCCCGCGGGAGCGCCGTTGCAGTGGGTGGTGCTCCCCCACGGGCCCGACGGGCGTCTGCCCGCTTGGCCTCGGAGAGGCCGCGCGCTGCGGGGCAGATGGGTCGGGTCCGCACCCTCCGCTCCTAGGGGGGGGGCTTCCTCCTCCTCCTCCCCCCCCAGGACCGTGCGAGGCGAGTGCAAGCGCCAGGATTTGCGGAATCGGAATAACGGAGATATTGCTTGGCACAAATCCGTCCGGGCTGGTAACGACCCCGCGGCTGGCCGCGGGGGCGCCCTCGCTCGGCTGGTCGGCCGCGCGCTGGCCGACCCGTTTCCGCCTCCTGCTCGCGTCGTGTGGTGCGGTGCCGTGCCGCGCGTCCTCTGCCTGGTACTGGGGCGGGATATGAATGCCGTGCCGTGTGTCGGGTTTCGGCCCTCCGCCCGCTGGGGCTTCGTTCGGTCCATAGTGGCTTCGTTGCGGCCCATAGCGGCCTGCTGCGTTCACTTGCCCAATGGGGCCCTCTCATCAGGTCCATAGTGACCACGTGCTGTCGCTGGCCCGCCCAACCCGCCCTGGGGGTGGGGAGGGGGGTGGTGCTCCCCCACGGGCCCGACCGGCGTCTGCCCGCTTGGCCTCGAGGAGGCCGCGCGCTGCGGGGCAAATGGGTCGGGTCCGCACCCTCCGCTCCTGGGGGAGGCTTCCTCCTCCCCCCCCCCAGGGCCGTGCGAGGCGATTGCAAGCGCCGGGATTTGTGCGATATAAAAAAGGAAAGAAAGTGCGCGCCGATCCTCCCATGCGGAACCATCTGGGGACAAGGTTGGGAGCCTCGGGGGCCGAACCGAGACGGTCTGGGCGTCCTCTGGGGTTGCCGTGCAGCGTGGGGACGCAAAACAAACTGCATGGAGAAAAACGTTGAAACAAAAACTATAGTGCAACAAAATGTTTGAGCTTTGGAGAGGTCCCCTGGAGGCCTCTGGGAGGCCTGTGGGAAACCAAGGGCACCAGGCGGGAGCAGCCCTTGGAGTTCCCTGCGACCTCTTGGGGCTCCGTTGGCTCCGGGGCGCTGAAACACTTCAAAAACACAAAGAAAATAAGGCCCCGGGCCCCCCATGCGCCGCCGAGGTCCCTGGGCGGGACCCCCCTGGCCACGTCCCCTGGTATGTATGTATGTATGTATGTATGTATGTATGTATGTATGGATGGATGGATGGATGGATGGATGGATGGATGTATGTGTGTATATATATATATATATAGTCGCCAGGAAGGGGGGGTCTTAATGCGTTCTCGCGGTTAATCGGGCTGTACCCCCAACGGCGCGCATGGGCTAAGATGTGAGCGAGCAAATCTCAAGCTGCCAACCAGAGCCATCATGGAACCAGAATCCCAGCAAGCAGCAAATGTCGATGGAAAAGGCTCTGAGCTTCCGAAACGGGTCTTTGATAAACCAAGACAGTGGCGCGCCCCAGAAAACTGCAGCCGTGGGTGGGAAGGCGTGTTCCATTCTTCGTTCTCCTCAGGTGGCATATTCAACATCCTGGCTAACAATGTCCTGGCTTAGGGGGCCCTGAGAGGCAAAAGGCAATGCTTACCGGCTAGCCGAACAACCACAACCCCTGCCCCTGGACCGCCCCCTTCCGTGACGTCGCTCTCGGCTTTCAAGCTTGCTACCGTCCGCGTACATATGTCTTGGGGCGAGGCGAGGGGGACGTCGCGGAAGGATGGTTTGCTAGGGGTCGGTCAGGCCGCCCCCGGTTACCCGACGGGCTGGCTCATCAGCACCTTGTTCAGGGAAGGACGGCCCGACCAGCACCGCGGTGTCCCTGATAGCGCCTTCCAGGGCCCGCATGCGAGCGTGATTGAAGGGTCCGTCTCACCGTGCTCGTCGAAACCCGCTGCCCCTGACCCGGCGCTGACCACCATCAGCGACCAGTATATGCAGGCCGAGCCGAGGACGCCGTCCGCCCACGGGGCCAGGACGTGCAGGAAAAGCGCGACTCGGGACTCCCACGGTGTTCGATGCTCGCTCTCGGGACCCTCCAGGAGCAACCCGCCCCACTCAGTCGTCGATGCTGCGTCGAACGTCCGTCGACTTCAGCCTACCTTGAATCGAACCTGAATCGAGCTACACTACAGTCGGACTATGCCGCGGAGGCCAGTCCACAAGAAACCTTCCACAAGAAACCCAACCCTGAGACCCCAGGACGTCCACTGATTTTTGGTGTGGGAACGTCACGCTCTCCATAACAAAAAAATCGAAGCCCAAGAAATCCGGGGCACCCTGGAGGCAAGCAAGGTGTTTCGGCATGGGCCCCCACTGTAATCGAACTGCAGTCATCTTGCTGCCATGGCGAACGCCGAGTAAGCAACGAGAGGGCGTTGCTGGCCACGGCGAGCCTCGGCCACGAACAAGTTCGACCGCATATTCGATCTGCGAATCGAACCAGATCTCGGCGGCGCGCCGAGGGGGCCTTCTCAGAAGGCGGCGGGGCTCTCAGAAGCCCTCCTGGCCTTCTGAGACCAAGGGCTCCCAACTTCGCGCTTCGCGCTGCGCGAAGCGCGAAGTGCGAACAACTTCGCGCTCTCGCGCCGCCTCCGAGGGGAGAAGAGGAAGAGGAGGAATCGGAGCCGAACCGCGAAGCGCAAATGGCTTAGCGCCCTCGAGGGCACCCTTGGAGACGCACTCTGCAGCTTCGGAGAAAGCCTGCCTTCTGAGCCTTCTAAGAAGGCCCGATCCCCCTGCCCTCCACCCCGAGCGCGCCGTCGAGAATTCGATGCAGAGTCGAATGGATCCGTCAGGCCGGCCCCAGGAAGGTCCCAGCTGGGAGAGGCAGGAACAGCAGGGGCCGGGAGAAGCGATCCATGCGTCCCTCGGGCCTCGCACTAGAGCTCTGGATTCGCGTGGAATCTGAAGTGCTCGCGCAAGTCTGGTGTCTCCGGGAACCTGCCGTGCAGCTTTTTCAGCTCATTCTCGAAGCTTTCGTCTTTTGTGAGCTCAAAAGCACCTACCAGCGCAGGGATGTAGGACGGATTCACCTTCAAAGCCCGCTTGAGGCATGAAAGCGCTCTCTTCGCATCAAATGGAGCCCACATGAACGCCATACGGGTCCACTGATATTCGCAATCCGTGCATGGAGTCGCGAGCAGCTTCTTGCCAAGATGACGCAAATTTCTACGCGCCTCGCTCTCAGCCCAGCTGTTGATGCATTCCTCCCAATATGGTAACATGTATGGACTTGCTTTTGCACAGAGACGGAAAAAACGTGCACAGTCGCCTTCTCGGAAAGACGCGATGCAAGAATGCTCATTCTCACCCCTCCGAAAACTTGTTCGGAAGAGCCCTTGATAAGACACTCCAATTGCTGCTTCGATATTTACAGTTGAATGGTACCAGAGCTCCGGGACCACCACAATCTGGCCTGGGCGTTGCAGAAATACGCTTATGCCCCACTCTTCGAAGCGCTCCTGGTGCTGAAGTAATGCCTGTCCAGTCTGGTAGCCCAAGACGTTCTGCATTGCTCGGGGGATACGCTTTGTAAGCAACCAAAGCTTGCTTCCACTGACTAGAACAAACGCCGCAGCACCATGGGTGTGGAAGGGAGTGCTCGACCCTTGCTTAGCCATGGACAGAATGACCAATTTGTCAAGCTGCGCCGGCATCATTGGCATGTCGAAGGTGAATGCGTCGCGAAGCTTATCCTCTTCAAATACTGAATACTTCGGCGAGTCAAGGTCTACGAACTCTTTCAAGCGCATGGACGGCCCATCGTTTGGGAAACCCTGGTAGTTCAATTTGGACACCAGCGACGTCCCTACGATCCGATCACCATGTGATTTGAGAAATTGTGTTAAATTCCATGACGTATTCGACTGTATTAACTGTGGGGCGTCTTCCACCGTCAGTATATCCATAGGTCTGCGTGTGGGCTTCGAGTACTCGATCCACTCATGTTCATGGTGCTGTCCAGCAGCTGACATCAACAAAAGTGCTGCAAGGTATCGCGCATGACCAAGCTTCATCGAACGAGGCTCAGACTGAATGACCCGCCATAGTTCGCTCAAAGACGTGACCACAAATTGCTTGAGATCATGTCTTTGACTTGAGCCAAAAAGGCAACGGTTGGCCTACGGGCGATCTTTAGAGACTCTTGGGTCGCCTGGGGTCTCTCTTGGACGCCCCTCTGGGGTCCCCTTGGGCCGTCTTGGCGCCCTCTTAGCCCGTCTTGGAGCCCTTTGGGGAGCCTCTTGGATCGTCTCGGGACGACCTGGGAACGCTGGTGCCGTTTTGGGCAGTCGGACGTTTGAAGAAGTGATAACGCTAACCAACTTCAAACAGCTAAGGTAACTCAACATGGTTCGCCTCTTGAGACCCTCTTGGGGGTCCTCTTAGGGCCCCCTCGGGCCGTCTTGGGCGCCTCTTGAGCCGTATCGAAGCCATTTTAGGCCCTCTTGGAGCGCTCTTGGACTGTCTAGGAGCCCTCTTGGGCCTCTTTTCTGTCTTGGGCAGTCTTCGGGGTACGTCAGGTTCGTGTCGTGCCGATTTCGGCGGTGGTTTCTGACACCGCGGGGATCGTTCAACCTTGAACGATCGGCCGTTTCCGAAACGTCCAAATCGTTCCACATCGAACGATTATTGGGTCGCCCGCAGCTTTCGACGTCGAACGCCGCTGGCGGGGTCGCCGCCGGTCGGCACGACACGAACCGACTGTAGCTGAAACCATCTTGGCATTGCCGTCTTGGGGCCGTCCAGGGCCGTCTTCGCGCCCGCTTACGGCGTTTAGGATAATTATTGTTGGAGCCGTCCTGGACCTTCTTGGGGCAACTTGGCAAACCCGTTGGGACGTCTTGGGCGGTCGGAAGTCAACAATACCTCCCTAGACGACCACCCTTCGGGTGATAAGAATGTTGGGGGGTGGGGGGGAAGAACCAACTTCTGGCAAACGCAAAGGGTGTGATGACGACGATGCTGGTGACGCGCCCTCGAATTAACGACGACGCGTGATGCCGATGTTGCGCTGCGATGTAACGTCACTATCGCCCCCGCTTTCGATCCCACTCGATCGATCCCACGGACGACCTCTCAGGATCGATCACACTCGATCAATCTCACTATAGATCTCAATCTCTCTATCGATCACACTATGATCTCACTATAGATCTCGCTTTCGATCTCACTATCACATTACAATCGGCCCCACGTCCCAAAACTAACTGCCGGCCCACCTGGACCACCCCACGGACCAACCAAACAACCCAGGCCACCAACTCCCAGGACAAACCGCCGGACGACCCGGACCACCTCTGGGACCAACCGGCCCCCCGGTCAAACCGCCAAACCACCCAGACCACTCCCATTCGGACCACCCGGACCACCTGGACCACCCGGACCACTCCAAACCAAACCAGGCCCCAATTGGGGACACACCAACCCGGGTCCATGCAAACCCGGGTCAGTCGGGCCTTGCAGAATCCCGCAACATCCTGCAACTCCTACTTGAGCCGGGACCGACCGTCCCTGCATTCCTATAGGCCTACCACGACATGTTCTTAGAACCAAAAAATGTTCTAAGAACAAAAAAAATGTTCTTAGAACATTAGCCCGATTGATTAAAACAAGACAGTCTCAACCAGAAATGTTCTACGAACATTTCGTGCAAACCACAAAATAAACTTAGAACATTCATTGGTGGGCCTGTAGGCAAGCCAAGACGCCTCGCCACTGCTTGACCTGCAGGATCCTGCGCTTGAGCCCGGGTCGGTGCACCCCTGGCTCTGCAGGATCCCGCAAGCTCCGGCGCTCTGGCTGACCTCCGTTTGCATTCACACCCGTGTCTACCAGCTCGACCCAGGAAGGGGTGCAGACTTACGGTGCCGACGACGAGGGGGAGGGCGTGCCCGCTGGGGCGGTGGCCGCGCTCCCTGCGGGTGAGGTCCTCATGGCGCTGCGCTCGGTCCGAGCGCCGCGAGCTGCGGCGGGAGGCCTTCGGATTCGCCCTCAAGGTCGCTCCCAATCACTCTTCGGAGAGCGAAGGATTTCACTATCGACTTCGCTATCGATACCAAAGCGGGACACCCCAAACCACCGCCCGCCCACCGCCGATGGGACACCGACGGGACACCAACGGGACAACAACCGGACACCACAAGACACCACGGCGGGACATCGCGCGCCCACCGGGGGCGGAGTCCACTGCATCCGAATCGCCCTAGCGACGGCGGGTCGTTCCTCTCGCGCGCCCACGCAGCTTCGCCTCGCCCGCACGCCCGACACGAGCACGAAGCCGAAACCGATTTCCCTGTGGGGGGCTCTCCGTTCCACTGCGATCTTACCCCCAAACCTCCGAAAACGCGAAAAACCGATTGACACCCAAAGAGAAAACTCTTGGAGCCGCATTGGGCAGTCTTGGGGGCCTCGGGGGCCTCTGAGCCTGGGACCGTCTTGGGGCCTCTAGAGACTTCTTGGGGCGCTCCTGGGCCGTCTCGGGGGCCCCCTGGGCTGTGGCGGGGGCCTAAGTGGGAGGGCGCGCCGCTGGATCTCCCCAAGGGCGGGGGGGGAACCCCTCCCCCCCCCCCTTTCCTCCATCGATCCGTCGTCGGGGACCCCCGTGAAGGGCCGGATCCTGGACCATTCGGCCGAAGACGCTCACCCAGAAAAACCTGAAAATTAAAAAACTGAAAGATCCAAAATAGGGTCGGAAGTGGCTTGGCACCAGAGAAAAACCCTCTTGCTCACTACCAGGTTTCTGGCCCTGGAAAAGCCTTAGTGAGCAAGAGTTGGGTGTGTTAGAAGGATCGCTTTGCAACAACCTTAACAAAACCAAATGTGCCTATCTAGGTATGCACGTGAAGTCTGGGATTCATGCATACACATCCGAACAGCACCAATTGTCGCGAATCTGGTTTATGGTATGGCTTACCGTAGTATCAATCAGGAAGGGGCGGCAATGGTTGAAGATTTCATGTCTAGCAGCCCAGCTCATACAGTCGTCTGGCTGTGCAGTAAAGAATGGTGAGTGCTAGCCTGGCCCTAGACCAGACCAGGCCGAATGGCCTGATCTCAGGCCAGGCTGATCTTGACGCATTAGGCCTGGAGCCCTGCAACCTCCTCGACCACGGCGCGCACCGTCGAGGGCGTTGCCTTCCTCGATTGCGCTGATCTCTTTTTGTGCCCCCACGGCTTTTTCTTCTTTGAAAGTGCGGCCTTGCTCCGCGAGGCGGCCCGCTTCTTCTTCCCGTCATGCTGTTTCGCAGCCGACTCGGCGTCCATCTTGACAGCGGACTTCTTGAGTGCACTGCGCTTCGGGCCTTCTCCGTTGGGCACCGAACCTCCTGGGCCATCCTGTCCAGCAGGCGGCGCCTCGCTTCTCCCAGGACTGCCCCTGAGACCGCCAGCAGCGATCTGGCCTGCCAAGACCTGCGCGAGCCGCAGGGGTGGAAGCCGCGTGCCGAGCTGCTCGCGCTGGGCGGCTCGGACGAGCAAGCGGTGGAGGGCGTGAACCTCCTTCAGCACGTGGACGCGATCTTCGCGCTGCTGCCAGACGCACCATGCCCGGCGCAGCAGACTCCTGTGCTCGGCCTCGTTCCGCGGCGTGCCCCGGGCGATCAGCTGCCCGCGAGAGAGCTGGGCGAACGCCGAGTTGTTGCGCAGGTAGCAGTAATTATTCGTGGAGCTTGCGTTCATCAGGACCTTGCGGAGCGTCACCCCCTTGGAGTTCTTCTTGTCCATGATGTTCTCGTGATTCTGGACAATGCGCTTCAACTCGGCCACGTACTCCTCGTGCGAAGAGAATGGCTGGTTGCAGAAATCAGTCCAGTCGCGGTCGACGCGCTCGCGCGCGGGCTGCAAGTCGTCCCGAGCCACCTCAGCCATCGGGGAACCATGGTAGATCTCCCTGGCCAAGCTCTCCTCAGACACGCTGAGAGGACGGGATAAATTCCTGGTGAGCTGCAGCAGCTCGAATGAACAAGCCGTCCTCTTGCCGTTCCTCCAGCAATTTGTTCGCCGCCGCCTCCGTCGACAGGAGCGACTCCTCGTGTCGCGACCGCGCCTCGAGCGCATCCATGGCGGCTTGCGCAGGTCGACCTCTCGTCTGCTTGATGCCCGCCTCCCCTGCCTGCGCTGCCTGGAGATGCTTGATCAGCGCATGGTAGTTGCGCCGCCTCTCGCCGCATGTCATGTAGAGCTCCAGGCGGCCCAGATCGAGCTTCTCGGGGAACGCGGTCTCGACGGGGATCGCGAGGTGGTTCACTTCGGGGAACGGCGCTTTGAGGTCGGCGCCGGCGCAGAGAGCTGGAAAGTAGGAAGGAACTTTGCGGCCCCACTGCCGCGCAACGGGTTTCCACAAGGCCAAATCCTTCATGCAGCCCCAGGCTTCTTTCTTTTCTGACTGCTAAGGCAAGACCCAGCCCTCGCGCGCCACTGTGCGCTGTCCGACGCGTTGGCATCCTCGTCGAGCTGGATGATGGCGAGGAGCGTGGATGCCTGGCTGAGGGGCTCCGAGGCGGCGCTCGCCTGGGCGCCGTGGCCATGCGGCCCGCCTTGCAGGACAGCTGCGCCGCGACCGTCCGCCGTTCTGACGTCTCTCAGGAACTCTTCGTTCATCGCTGCGCGCGCAGGGGAGGGGTCGCCCAGCTTGTCGCAGGCCCCAGGCCCCGAATACTTCTCAATGGTCGGCAGGATGCCTCGGATCACGTGGATGAAGCCCGCCACCCCCGAGGAGGCCCATTCCTCCAATTCGGGGCCAGCCAGGAAGAGGCCGCGCTCAACCGATGCCAAGCTGGCGTTGCGAGTGAAGTCGCCCTCGAAAGCGATCAGCAACAAACGACGCCGGCAGGCGTGAACGGCATCATCGTCGCATTCAATGCGGAACGCGTGGTTCAACTCGATGACAAAGTCCGCGAATGTCCATGCGTAGTAGCGCTCGTCCTCGGCTTTCCCGTGGTTCTCACGAACGAGCAGTTCTGCCCTGGCGAACAAGTTCTTGGCAACGATATCCTGGATATTCTCGCCCTTCTGCGCC